TGTGTGTGTGTGTGTGTGTGTGTGTGTGTGTGTGTGTGTGTGTGTGTGTGTGTGTGTGTGTGTGTGTGTGTGTGTGTGTGTGTGTGTGTGTGTAATTTAATTTTACTGTAGTAAAATAATCCATTTTAAGTGACAAAGTACATTAAGTACATTTACACTGTTGTGCAACCAACACCACTGTCCATCTCCAGAACTTTCTCATTATCCCAAACTGAAACTCTGTATCCATTAAACAATGAATCATCAATCCTTCCCCTCTTTCCAACCCTTGGTAACCACTATTCTATTTTCTGCCTCTGTGAATTTGACCACTCTAAGAACCTCGTAAGTAGAATCATGCAGTAAGTGCCCTTTTGTGCCTGGCATATTTCATTTAGCATAATGTCTTCAAGATTAATCCATGTTGCAGAATGTATTAGAATTTTATTCTTTTTTAAAGCTGAATAATATTCCATTGTATGTATAGACCACATTCATCCATCGATGGTTTACCTGAGTGGTTTCCACCTCTGAGCTGTTGTAAATAGTAGTGTCACATGTGTACAAATACCTGCTTTCACATCTTTTGGGTACATACCCAGAGGTGGAATTGCTGGATCAAGTGTTAATTTCATGTTTAATTTTTTTGAGGAACCACCATACTGTTTTCAATCATTATATTTTAAAGTTATCAAGAGTTGCTGTGGGACTGGTGTTACGAGTTAAGAGAAAGAAAATAAATAAGAATTATCTCAAGATTTTCACTTTTACAGTAGAATATTGGCACCACACATGGGGCTTTTGAGATAAGAGGGTTTTGGTATATGCGTGATGTAATGGATATAGTAAAGGTTCTCTTTAGGACATATTATATTTATATTTATCATGACTGTTAGACATACAGATGGGAACATCAGGCAGGAAGTGTTATATATTGTTAGTCTAGAGTTCCAGGGTCAGTGCTGGTGACCAAAGGTGTATGACAGAAGGTCGTGTTGGCCAGGGGGTAGGCTGGAGTGATGACAAAGGAATGATTAAGGAAACAGCTGGGGTGCATGTGGTTCTAAGCTCCCCCAGGTGATTATCTAAACATATCCAGATTCGGTGACTACCAAGTGATACCATCTTAGAGATTGCCTTAAATGAGGGAAACAATTTAGGATTATTGGAGAAGACAGAAAAGATGAGAAAGTGATGCTCAATTTCTGAGCTAGAAAAAATCTCAACTTGTTCTAGCAGGAATTTTAATATAGCCCCTGGGTTTATTTTCATTTCCTTTATCCTACTACATGAATAAACAATCTTACTATATTACTGTTCACCCTGTAGTGACTTAAAGTGTATCTCATTACATTTTGGAGAAACTATGCACTTACAATCTATGCTTATACACTTTATTTTTCTGTTAAAAGTCCACTTTTTCTTTTACATTTTCTGAGATTTTCCTCATATCCTTTTCTCTGAATTTAGTAATAAACATGCTCCTTTACCATTTCAAACCCTTTTGGCATGGTTCCTTATGAACCTTTCTTATCCTCTGCATCCCGGAGGGAACTATATCTCATCCATCTTTATATTTCCTATATCATAACACAGTGACTTATTAAAGTAGATAAATATTTGAAGAATAAATGAACAGAAGAGTGAAAAGTAGAACATACCACCTGTTAAAGTGTTACCTCCCTGACCTCTGTATTGTTCTTTAAGCTTTGAGGGAGTTTCTGACGAAAGTAGTGGATATAATGATACATCGTGGCTTTAATAAATTTTTTAAATGATGTCTAGGAATTTAATAGAAAGCTGGTAAAGTGCCAAGCTCAAAGCAATTCATTTTTCCCAAAAAGCCTTCATACATTCAAGCCAGGAAATCATTCTGCTCAACTTGCCACACCCAAGTCCCTTCTCACCTGGCAGGGCTCCTTGGAGCCTTCTCCTCACCTGGCAAACACTCTCTGATGCTCACTGGATGCAGGTCTGAAAGAGGCGGCAAGAGCCTAATGCCTGGTTTGCCTCGAGCTTTAAATCGCAGAAAGTGTTTGATGGTGCACTGGAGTGCTCTGCTGTATACTGATTTAGAAATTAATCAAAAAACCAACAAACTTATGGTTACCAAGGGGGATGGGGGTGAGAAGGGATAAATTGGGAGTTCGAGATTTACAAATACTAACTACTATATATAAAGTAAATATACAACCAGTTTCTTCTGGATAGCACAGGGAACTATATTCAACATCTTGCAGTAACTTACAATGAAAAAGAATATGAAAATTAATATACATATGTATATGTATGACTGAAACATTATGCTGTACATCAAAAATTGCCACACTGCAAACTGACTATACTTCAATTTTTTTAAATTGCAAAAAAAGAAAGAAAGAAAGAAAGAAAGAAAGAAAGAAAGAAAGAAAGAAAGAAAGAAACCATCCCTGCCATCAAGAAGTTTATGATCCAGTTGGAGAAAAAATGAATGTTAAGTGTGATAAATATTATGGTGAAATAAGTCTACCATGCAAATCACGTAGGAGGGGCCATTAACTCAGAAGTGGAAGATCATGGAAGGCTCCCTGCAGGACGTGGCATCTGAGCTAATTGGTGAGGGATGAATCTGCATTTTCTGGGAGCAGTAGTGGAAGGGCTCTGATTCAGGCAAAGGAACAGCAGAAGTTGAGGGGATGCAGGGAGCATTCAGGGGACTCCGTGCACTTCCATGTGGCTGAAGCACAGGAGCCTGATTAGGAAAGGGCCTTTATTCTGTATGAGTGAGTTTGGGCTTGATCATCTTTGAAATAATGAAATTCATCAATGGGGTCGAGGTGGAGTCTGCAGTATTAAGTGGTTAGCCATGGAAACATGCAATTCAAAATCCCCTTGCACTCTATATTTTTAAGCAAATTGTACACTGAATCAGAGAAACATTTGCCACAGCTACAGATGACCACTTATGAGTCCAGAACTAATTTTTAGAACCTAATAAACCAACAGAGAAGATATTCAAAGTCTATGGAACCACCCATACACCTGCCTGTTGGATGTGACATATAGATTCTCTTTGTAGGTAACAGGCTGGTTATTCATTAATACTTTCAAAAAAAAGAGGATTGTGATGGCCTCGGTATGTCAAAGACTAAGGTCACCTTATTCTAGCAACATAAAAGCCACCTGACTAGGCTGAAAATGTGTTCCCAAACCTATTTCAGAACTTATTCCCTGATGGTTTCTGTGAATTTGGGTTGAAGGGTTTTAACGGTCCATTAGGGAAAGGCAGTAAAAACCGGAGAGTGGGAGAGTGAGGGCTGTTACAAACTGCAGTGCTGTGCTTGGATCGCGGAGCACTGCTTACAGTAACATTTGTTTCACGAGAACTTTTAAAACTCTACAGGCCATTCCTCCAAGTATTTACCATCAAACCTCTAAGTATTTACCATCAAACTACTCCCTTCATTGGAAGAGGGTAGACTGTGTTCCCGCCTATGGATTTAAGGATCTCACCAATGCATGGAAGATTGGTCCAAGTTCTTCAATTAACATCCCCAGGAATAATATTTATTAAGTAACTAGAGACATTATAGCATATCCTAGAAAAGATTCTTATCTCTGCAAGTTTAAAATACAATCACATTTTCTTTCTCATTTTATAGTCTTTTTAACATTTTTTTATTTATTTTCATTATTTGGGGGGGGTAATTAGGATTGATTGATTGATTTATGTATGTATGTATGTTTAGAGGAGGTACCGGGGATTGAACCCAGAACCTGGTGCATGCTAAGCATGGGCTCTACCACTTGAGCTGTACCCTCTCCCCCTCTGCGTCGTGTTATAGTCTTTAAGTTCACTTCGTCAGTGTAGCTCTAGAGTTCCATAGCTGAAAATATGATTAGTACCATTACCTTACGACAATTTAAATGCCATATGCCATATGTAATATTTACATTCTTGGGTGTAATATGTTATAGACATTAAGATACTAAGCTTTGGAACCCAGAGAGACCCAGGTTCAGAGCCCAGCTCTTCCATGTGTGAGCTCTGTGACCTTTAATTAAATTACTTAAACCTCTTTAAGCTTTGGTTTTCTGATCTAGAAATTGAGGGTATCAGTGGTAAGCATCTAGTCAATTCATTGTGAGAAGTGAATGAGACTGTGAGTAATGTGGGGCTACTACAGTTTCAACCCGAGCTACCATTTCTGAGCATGTTCACCTTTCTCCTTTAGTTCTGTTTGTTTCTTTCTCATCTTATTATAAGCAACTTTCTTCTTTCTTTTTACTCCCTTAGGGATATGAAGCCTGACAACATTTTGCTTGATGAACATGGTAAGTAAATGATTTGTTTGCAATCAACTACATGACATGCATGCGGAACAAGCTGATTCTCCCCAGCAAAGGAGTATTACGTGTGGGAAAAGTGTCTTGCTCGATTCAGTTGAATTATATGTGCAAACTCAATTTTATGGTGGGAGGGACAATCACTCACTGCAGTGGCATACTAAAACAGTATACAATTTTCTTCCACTCCTACTGAATTTTTCAAGAAAACCACCCCAGTTTTGTTTGTTTTTTGATGCTGATTTGACTTAATACCTCTCTAACAATCATCTCCCTTTTTTTTCATAAAGACGAAACAAACCTTAAGATTAGAGCATTTGGCAGGCAATAGTATTTACCTAGAGATTCATGACACTGTTTTGTTCTCACTGCATCTACTTTCATGTTTTCCAACTCGTGAGGACAAATTGGTTTTTCATGTACAGAAGAGAGATCAAGGTCTCTGTTCAAAGATTTTTTTCCGTTTAAAAAAAATCAGCTTATTCAAAGACACATATAAAGCAGATCAGAGTATCTGTGGTACCCAGCTATGAAAGTGACAGACGGATATGGCAGTGACCATGAAGGTGATAAATGAATGTTCAAGAAACACTGATGGGAGATGTCCTGTAGAACAAATTTTGACCAACAATGATTAAATATGTATAATCTTTTCCTAATATTAATGTACATTTGGGATGTACTGGTCCCTCAGAGCAGACTTGTAGGACACACAGCCCGCATGGCATAAATGGTACAGAGGCAGTAGGATCCTTGTTAAGATTTTTAGAAAGCCACTAGGTGAGGGAGTCCCAGATCTGCAAAGCTCTGTATTCATTTTGCTTTTACAAAAGGGATTTGCAAGTGGGACTGAAACTCCATGGACCATCCATCACTCATTATTTATTTACCTAGTTGCATTTTAAACCTGACTTGCCAGACTGCCACATGTGCTCAGAGGGTTAAGAAACACGTTTGCGTGTGACCTCCGATTTCAGAGCTCAGGGTCATCATTTATTTATGAGCTGTCTAAAAAGATTTTTTCCACTTTCTTCCAGTGCCTTATTTCTTCCTTCCCTTTACGGCTTCTGACACTGGGGAACAGATTCTCTGAATCTCAGAAATGTGGGCAGTGGTGAGACTTATCATGAAGGTGACTTTCATCAAAACACCAGGAATCTCTGCCTCAAATAAGAAGCAGGATCCCCTCTCCTGCTGATGCAAAGAAACCCCACATAACCTTGTGAAGGCGCAGGCTGGTCAGGCAGACCTGGTTCGAGCTTGTCCCTGCTTCCCCCTCAACCACTCACTTCTGTGCCCAATATATTTCTCCATCATTTGTTGGGGCCCTGAATGGAGACATATAGGTCTTGTCAATCGAAACCTTTTCAAGATTTACCTTCCATCCAGGGAACAGTGCTTCCATTTCAGGTCTCAAACTTGGTTTCATCTTACCTTGACCATGAGGTCGTCCTGTTCAGCTTCTTTCTCCTTGTCATTTTCTTGTCAACTTGGTGATGGTAAACTAGGAGAAAGGTTCAGAAATGAATTAATCTTCAAGTTTAACTACCCTCAGACTACCCTTGGGAAAGAGTAATTAGGGGATATCGTCGATAAGAACGTGGGTTCTGGAGACAGACTGCCTGAGCTCGAAACCTAGTTTGCTCACTCAGCAGCTCTGAGAGTCTTAGCAGATTGCCTAAAATTTCTCTGCTCCTTAGATTCTTCAGGGATCAAAAGTTCTTATTTCTTAGGGTTGTTGTAAACACTGAAATACTATTCATAAAGTGCTTAATTGCCATGTGCACAGGGAACTTACTCAATAAAAGTTAAATACTGCTGTGACCCCATGAGGTAGCAGGGGCTTTCTGCCCCACGGAGGGAAGCTTAGACGACTTCACCTTGCTTTATGTGACTCTGTCTGTATCAGATAGATAGAATCGGTGAAAGCTGGGGACCTTCCTGTCTTTACTGAAGAATTCTTTTGATTCCAGAAGGGATATACCAAAGATGGTATGTCTACTTGTTAGGTCTTGTGTTTAAAAAATTTTGTGTGACCCTTTACTGTCTGGCAGCTACACTTTCAGCAGCCCATTCTGCCTTTCCTTCATGCGTGCAGGGGGCTAAGTCCACTTGTCCGGGCCTTTTATTCTTGGTTGGACTGGGACTCTGTTGCTTAGGGACAATGAACTGTTCTCCCGTCTGCCTATGGGGCCAGTCCCAGTCTACACCTGTTATCTGCTGTACCATTTACAAAGACCCTTTTCACTCTTAAATTTGGGGGGTTGGACAATGACTTAGGGGTGGGTTTTTCTGTATTTTATTCCCATCCTAAACTCAACTGAAGAATCACTCCAGCCAAGAAGAGAAACATTGCTTTGGGAAGGACTGGATATGTGAATGAGATAGAATCAAACAAGCAAAGAAGACTGAGAGCCACACTCTAAGCATTGTCCTGGGAACCCTTTTTGGAGATGATCATTTCTTGAGGTTATCTGTTTTCTGTTTATTCAGATTCTGAAAAGCTAAGACTTTCAGGCATTGCTCAGGGACCATAATTAACTACTTTTAAATGAAGAAATTCCTGGTGGCCCCCACTCCCCAGCTCATTGTGTAGAGCTGCTCCTGCAAAAGCCAACAGACCAGAAACCAGTGCCCGCCTCTTGGAGTATTTTCTGGTGCGATTTTCCCTGTCTCATATTTGAAAGCCTCATTTGTCTCCTCTGTCCACATTTATAACATTTCACACCTTACGGACCATCACATGTTCCTCTTGCATGGGGAGTTAGCAACTGTGAAGGATAATCGCTTATCTCTGATATGCCTCCTATAATCATTCCTCCAGCTGAGCTGTGTATGACACCACGTGACTTATATTTTAACTCACCACCATGACTAACAGGCAGAAACTTTATTTTATTCTTACTGATTCATATTGGTTCGTGTTCATCAGAAAAGATGGAAATTTAAAGGAGCTAAATTCGTCTGTAAATGGAGACTCCTTCCACTGGTGTGAATGAACATTTCTTACACATCAGAATTGGACTTAAAAAAAGTTTTTAATTTAAAGCATACCTGTTACTTTTCTCCCCAAATGTCTCACGCACTAGTTCAGAGCCCAAGATGGCATTAGATCTTGGATGGCTCATAACCAACCACCCTGATACATATGTTTCATATCCTACCAACTTAAGTACCCTATCCAATTCTATTAGTGTTTCAGTATCTAAAATTCTTGTGTTTTCCCTACAGTGTTCAGGAAATAAATGCTGCAGACAAAGGAACAATAATGTCTCTCTGGTATATCTGAGAGAATGACAATTAATGCATAATCCATAAGTTAGGTTTCTTAATATCATCCCTAGTCATAGGGAACAAGAGAAGGGCAAAAACTCAGTTTGGGGGTTGTGAGGAAGAACTAAGCCTGCTACCTTAACAGCTTCTCCCCTGCAGAGTCCCAAAATGTACCTAAAAATCAAGTGGGTAGCACCTTAAAAACCATACACACACTCTCACACACACACACACAAATAGTAGAACACTGTACCCTATCCCCAGATAATTAGATTTATAAGCCTCAGTGCCTAAGGAGATGCGTTTTTAATAGGAATCCTAAAAAAAGTGGCACACAGAATCTAAACATTTTTGAGTTCGGGAAATTCTGAAAAGTTAGGGGCAATGCCAACCAATTGGTTGGTGTCTGTGAGTGCTGTGTTGAGAAGGATCCTCAGGCTAAATACAGGCACAGTGAGAAAGAGGATAAATAATGACCAAGATGATGACTAAATTCAGTGACTCAATACTATGAACTCCGATTTTTAATGTGATTCTGCACCACAGGGTACCGAGGTGAAAGAACAGGCAAATCACCCCCTCGGGTGCTCAGTCAGGCCATTCTGAGCCTGGTACCTGAAAAACTTCACAGTAAGGCAGTGGTTCTAACTGTGGATGCTTTTGCTCTACTGCCTCTCCCCGCAGGCATGGAGAGATATCTGGAGAGACTTTTGATTGTCAGGGTCCCAGCCAGGAGCAGGAAGTGCCTTTGGCATCTAGTGGGTAGAGGCCAGGGAGGCAACTAAGCATCCATGATGCACAGGACAGCCTTCACAGCAAAGTGCAACTGGCTCCCAGAACTCAGTGGTGCCAGGCTGAGAGACTCCATTCTAAGGGTCCCGCAGGACCTGGGCTTCTGGAAGAGGCCAGAGTGGTCCCTCAATCAGCAGGTCTAAGACTAAGTCAGGTCTTCTTTTAAAATCACGGGACCTTCCATTATATGCGGATGGCATGATACTACTATATATAGAAAATCCTAAAGGCTCCACGCAAAAACTTCTAGAGCTGAGAAAAGAATTTGGCAAGGTAGTAGGATACGTGATGAACATACAGAAATCAATGGCATTTCTTTACATTAACAATGAAATATCAGAGAAGGAGAGTAAAGAAACAATCCTTTTTAAAATTGCATCCAAAAAAATTAAATTCTTTGGAACAAATCTGACCAAGGAAGTGAAAGATTTATACATGGAGAATGACAAAACACTGAGTAAGGAAACTAAAGATGACTTAAAGAAATGGAAAAGAAAAAAATAAAGATAGAAATGGAAAGATATCCCATGTTCTTGAATTGGAAGAATTAATATTGTTTAAATGGCCATACTACCCAAAGCAATCTACAGATTTAATGCCATCCCTATCAAATTACCTGGGACATTTTTCACAGAACTAGAATAAATAATCCAAAAATTTATATGGAATCACAAAAGACCCAGAATTGCCAAAGCATTACTGAAGAAAAAGAATGAAGCTGGAGGAATAACCCTCCCAGACTTCACACAATACTACAGAGCTACTGTAAACAGAACAGCACGGCACTGATACAAAAGAAGACATATGGATCAATGAAACAGAATAGAGATCCCAGAAATAAATCTACAAACTTTTGGTCAACTAATCTTCAACAAAGGAGACAAGAACATACAATGGAGTAAAAGACAGTCTCTTCAGAAAAT